TAAGTGTTATCGGCAAATACTGCCAGCAGACGTTGCAGTGTCGCCGTTGAGAGACCAGAGATAGCCCCGCCGGTACTTTTTCCACGCGCAAGTAGAGCATCGTAAATGTGTATCTCAATGACATCCGCGACATAGAAGAGTTCAGTGTGAAGATGTTATTACTGCTCTGTATGTAAGACGCATCCGGTGGGCAGGCTGCGTGACCTTGACTGTGCCAGGGCTAGCAAGCGGAAAATGTGGTCTGGAACGTGCAGACGCTATAGAAGTAAATCGTAAAATAATATAGTGTCTCTATCATAGAATCATCAAGAGTAGTAATAGAGATAATTACATTGGCTATGTACTCTTGATATCAATAAATTATAACACCGTTGTTATATAGATACGTTGTTATATTAATATTAACGATATCATATAACACAGTGTTCATAATTTATAATACGTTGTTATAATAATATTATAGATATCATCATACACCGTTGTTATATGATATCCTATGGGTCTCATGGCTGTGCAGACACACGCACCCCGCACAATCACCCCCGCCGAGGCATCGCACACGAGCACACGGGCACACGCACGAGATGAGTAAAAGTGTTATGTCGGTTCAATTATGATTATTAGTATCATTGTTAATTGTCGGTTGGTCGACGAGGAGGCACGCTTATGGGTTTCGTGTTTAGCCTGCCGGAAATCCGTCGCCGATGTAGCATCTACTATCAATTACTCAATATGCAGGGCCGTGTACAGGGGGGGGGGTCCAGGGTGTTGGTCGGACCCCCCCCCCACCGCCTGCTCGCGCAGAAAACGCTATCTGGGAGGAGTACTATTCAAAATTCTGCGGGGAGGGACCACCCCCGACCCCCTTCGCGTGCCACCAAGTTGGGTTACGGTTAGACAACCCCCTGTACAAATGCCTGTACACGGCCCCTGCCAATGACTCTCATATCATGTCTCAATAGCACAGTACCTACAGTATCAGTGTGTGTGCTGGTGGTGTGCGTGTGCGTGTGCGTGTGCGTGATGCGTGAGGCTGCGTGTGCGTGTGCGTGTGCGTGTGCGTGATGCAGTGTGCGTGTGGCGTGTAGAGTCGAGAGCTGTGCAGTGATGCTCGTGTGCGTGTGCAGTGTCGCGTGTGGTGTGTGTGCGTGTGTGCGTCCTGTGCGATGGTGTGCGTGTATGTGTGTGGTGGCGTATTGTGTGTGTGTGTGATGCGTTCATGCGTGCGTGCGCGGCGCCGGTGTGTGGTGGTGCGTATGTTGTGCGTGTGTGTGTTGTGTGGTGTGTGTGTGTGTGCGTGTGCGTGTGTGTGTGTGTGTGTGTGATGTGTGTGTGTGTAGTAGTGTGTGTGTGTGTGTGTGTGTGTGTGTGTGTGTGTGTGTGTGTGTGTGTGGCTGTGTGTGTGTTTGTGTGTGCGTGCGTGCGTGTGCGTGTGTGTGTGTTATACTATTAGTATTATACATGTATAAAAAACGAATAACAGGTAATATTAGCTATTTATACATATTATGCGTTTATATATTTTAAGTGCTAGAATATTATATTCATGTGTATAGCTTAAACGAACTTGTAATAATATTCACTGAAATACCACCGGCAAAAACAACCACTAAACGGTGTGGTTACGGAGTCGCTCCCCTTACGTGCGTGTTCAACGCAAATGTCTTAGTAGCGCATTAAAAAAAAGCAAATTATCTGAATTATTTGAAAAAAATGTTACCATTTGAAATCAATTTTAAGCAAATTTGTATGAAAATTTTCAATGAATAATCTTGTGTCCCATCTTACCCAGAACAGCGGGGTAAGATGGGACGGTGACCAAAATGTTTGATGGTCTATAAATCGATCAATATTCACTTAAATTTAGTAACCATGAATAATCTTATTCTTTTCATTGTTATTGATCACCCACAAAGATATTTTGGAGGTAAAGGGGTTTTGGTTTAGAGGGGTTTACAGGGTTTCTAAAAACGTGTCCCATCTTACCCAGGTCTCCCCTATATGTAAAATTAATGTATATGTAAATGCATTAGTATATGTATGTATTAGTATATGTCTATGTCTCAGTAAAGGTCTAGCGCGGTCATACGTTCACATGCACTGTACAGCATACAGCGCTCACGGCACAACCTTGTTGCGTTTTCGTTTATACTTATTTCGTCCGCGAGGTGGCAGTGTGGTATACAATATTGCTTGTCGCGATTGTCTGAACGCGCGCGCGCACGCGCTGCGCTGTGACGAATGTTCACGATTTTTTTGTTCGCGTTCCCAATGGCAACGCTGTCTACTAAAATGCGCTTTTGGATCTAAACTCGCTTTTAATCTCTCTCTCTCTCTCTCTCTCTCTCTCTCTCTCTCTCTCTCTCTCTCTCTCTC